AAGAGGTAGGCGGAGGCAGAAAGCAGAGAGGCGCCGAAGGTGGGTTGGGCTTCCGCCAGCCCGCTAAAAGGAGAGAAGAGGGAAGGCAAGCTCAATGGCTGAAGTGGGAAGGCGCCTGAGGCAGACTGCAACCTGGAATCAAACAAACAAAAACCTTCAACGACCGATGGGTAGCAGAAGGAAGTCCTGGGAGGATGATGAGCATCTTTTAGGCAACCCCTATACCCATGGGCGTGGCCTGGGCCCCACTTGCCGATGGATCCCCCAGACATTGGCCGTTTCCTTCGGGCTTCGAGGGGCATATCCCCAAATGGGATTCTGAGATGGTGGGGGGCCCGGATGGGGAAGGGGATGGGAATACTGTCAAAACTGATAGCAAGGATGCGCGAGAAGTATGCTAGCCCCTTGGACGCCCATGACGAAGCTCTTCGAGCTGGGCTGGTCATCGAAAGTGGTGAAGGACGGGCCGAAGGGGCAAGAATGCAAGGGCAACCGTGGGCAGGTTGCCCATCCCTCCTGTCGGTTTCGACTGTAGGGGTCGGTTCAGCGAGACGGCGATGAGGAGAATCGGATCGACTGGGGTCGGAGGTCCGCGACAGGGCTCCACAGGGGAGCCACTGCCGGAACCCTCCAAGACAGCTCCAAACGGACCCCCTCCAAAATCAGGACCCCCCTCTTTCATTATGAAGTCCGGAGTACCTACCAGACCACCCCAGCCCAACCCGAAGCCCAGAATTTCGAGGTTCTGGGTGGAGTAGCTACGGGTTCCAAATGTGCATTTTGAATGTTTCCCGCCGCCCCCCCTTGAGAGTGGAGGGCAGATTGGGGCCTTCGTGTTGGGTTGGGGTGGTTTGGAGGGTGGTGAGATCGAAAGACAAAAAAGGCTTGACGAACATATCAGGCACATAAACCCGACCTCAAAACCTAAAGGGCCCTGGACGCCCTGAAAAGCACACCTCCACCGAAATCCGATGAGGAGACGGAGGAAAATGAGGACGACGACGACGAGGAGGAGGAGGAGGAGGAGGAGGAGGCGGAGGAGGAGGAAGAGGACCATCGGGATCTCCAGGTCTCCGCCGATTGCGTAAGCGAGAGAGCCACTAGCCCGAGGAGAGGTGGATGGGGGAGACGGAGGAAATAGTGGTAGCAGGAGGAAGTCTAGGGACGAGAAAGAAGAGGAGGAGGAGCAGGAGGACCGGTTGGATCGAAGGGTCTCCACCGATTATGCAAGCGAGGAAACCACGAGCCCGAGGAGGAGAACGTGTCAGGCCACCCTGGCCCACCGACCAGCCCTCAAGAGGCCGAAGCCGTCCAAGGCGGACTGGGAGAGGGAGGAAAAAGGGAGGAGAAAGTCTGGGGAGGATACCGAGAAGATGGAGGAGGAGGAGGATCAATCGCCGATCGCAAGCCGCCATCCCAATCCGATCCCGACGGAAGAGCCGACCAGATGGCCTGTCCGGGTGCTCGGGCACGGCATGCACTGGCCTCCTACCAGAACTCACGCACTGGGTGGGCATGAGGGCCCCAGGCACCCCCAGCACCGAGCAACGAGCTTGTCGTCATGCCGCCTGCCCCCATCCAACATGTGTATCCTTCCTGGCACGCACACGCGGCCCCCTCCGGAGGACGAGGACAGCATGGACGACGGAGAGCGCGCGCAGCGTGCGGTCCGTTCGTCCGAAGACATGGAGCTAGAGAGGTGTAGAAGGGGTGGGCAGGCCTCGCCCGAAGGATGACGGAAGAAACGGAACTGGGGGGAATTTGAGGGGGTTGGCAGCCCCAGGGGGGAGGACTCGATTGCCTAAAGCGCGATTTCGCTCGGAACATCCTCACATAACTGAGATGTCTTGGGATCGCGCTCTGAAGGCCTCCAGACAGTCCCCAACCTAGCCCAACAAGATTGCTCTCAGGCGCCCCACTTCCGCACATAAAAAACGATGTCCCCCTCACGGAACTGAAATGTTGTATGTATCGCGCTTGCCCCAAATGGCGATCTCGCGAAGGACATCCTCAGACAAATGAAATGCTGTCGACATAATCTTGGTCTCGGACTGGCCCAAGAATTCGATTTCGCTAGGGACATCCTCACACGAACGAGATGTTGTCGGCACCGCGCTTACTAAGATCTCCGGTAACTACTTAACAATATTTCTAGTTCGCGCGCGCGGGGCGGCCCCTGGGGGCCCCCAGACGAAAAGTACCCCGGCTGATCCCCGGCTGGGTCCCGGGCGATCCCCAGGGGGGATGCTATTTTTCGCCACCCCTCACGAGGATCGTGGCCTCCGAGGGGGTGGCTGCAATCGACTACCCCCCCTCCCGCCCCAAGAGGCCCCCAAGAGCCCCCTAAGAGGCCCCAGGGGAGCCCAAGACGCCGCCAAGGAGCCCCAAGACGCTCCCAAGAAGCCCCCAAGAGGCCACCAAGACGGCCCCAAGAGGCCCCAAAGAGCGCTCCAGGGCCGGCGGAATGAGCGAAGCGATTAAATAATGAAATGCTGTCGACGTCGTGGTTTCGGTCTTGCCCAAAATTGCGAGCTCACTGGGGACATCTTCTTCAACGAATGACATGTTGTCGACATCGTCTGGGTATCGTTCGCCGCTGCCGCTGACGCCGACCGCAGATGGACGATCCAAACCAGGAAAACGCGGCATTCGGATAGCGGACGGCCCAAACGGTCCAAAAGCGCCCTCGAAACAGCCGAAAATGGCGATTCCGCTAGGGACATCCTTGAATGAATGATCAATATCCAACGTCGCATGTTTAAAAGGATGTGTCTAAAATCGTCTTGAAATCTCTCTGGCAGGGCCTCAAGACGGCTGAAGAAGGCCCGATGACGGCCCGAGAGTCTCGCAAGACGGCCCACGAGGGCCCCAAGACTCCGCAGGGACGCGACAAGGATGAGGAGAAGAGAGGACGTATGGAGGACGAAAGGCCAAGCCAGCGATCTCGCGCCATCACAGAGTACGCTGCGCTGTCCGTCCCCGTGCCAAACAGGTCGACTGGCCAAAATTGCGACTTGGCTTGGGAGATCCTCCAAAAACTGCGATACCTTGGGACCGCCCTCGGAAGACCTCAAGACGGCCAAACATTGGAGGCCTGGAAATTGGCACCAACACCAGCACAGGGGGTTGCCTCCACAGGGGGAAGATGATCCTGTGTTTCGGTGTTGGTGGTCATATTTCGGCCACCTTGGAAGCCAGAGTATTACCACCATCACCGAGACCGGGACCTTCTTCCCTCGGTGGAGGCACGCCGCCGATATTGGTGTTGGCGTCAACCCCGAGGCCTGCGAAAACATGGCCTGACAAGATGGCTCCAACACGCCCTGCCTCCGCCCCAGGTGGGGATTGCGCCAGCGAGGGAGCTGCGAGCCCGAGGGGAGAGGGCGAGAGCGCGCCAGGCCACCCTGGCCGAGCGACGGCCCACCGCTCCGAGGGGAGCCCCGCGCGCGGCCGGCACCTGGCCTTCGGCCCGACCGGGTTCCCAGGCAGCGGGGCGACAGGAAGCGGGGCCTGACGCGAGAAGGCACAGCGACCCAACGCCGCGGCTTGCGCGGGCCGCCAGCGGCCAGCGCGGGAAGGCGCCAAAGGCTCCAGGGCCGAATCGCCGCCCTGCGAGACTCCTTTGGGGGTCGCGGGGCTCCGCACCACGGTGCGCGTGTGAGTTTGGGGGGGTGTGGTTCGTTTGTTTGGGGGACACCTCTGTGCCATTTCAAAGCGGTTCCCCCTCCTCCTCCTCCTCCTCCTCCTCCTCCTCCTCCTCCTCCACCTCCTCCCCATCCCAATCAGAATCCCCTTGAGGAATAGAATCAAGCAAAAACCTTTGAGAAACAAACGAAGAATCCTAGGGAGATCCCTGGGGGCGGGGGGGAGGTCTCCCCAGGATTGGTTGATTTGGTTTTTTGGTTTGGGTTTTTTGGGGTCGTCAAAGGGTTTTGCGTGATTTTGCCCCGACAGGGGGTTCTGATTGGGAGGAGGAGGAGGAGGAGGAGGAGGAGGAGGAAGAGGAAGAGGAAGAGGAGGAGGAGGAGGAGGAGAAAGGAGGAGGAGGATGAGGAGGAGGGGAGGAGGAAGGAGGAGGAGGAGGAAGGAGGAGGAGGGGAGGAGGGCACTATGGATATGGCGGAGGAGGCCTTTTTGAGGCATCTTGGGAGCCTCTTAGAAACCGCTGGCTCGGGCTGAGGGCGGCGGCGGGACAGTGCAACCTCGGGCTACAGGCGGCAGGCACTTTAGTACTCTCTCGCGCTGAACCACAGCCCCTCTCTACCCTCGGGAGAGGGATAATGATGAGGAGGACGGGGATGACGATGATGATGAGGATGATGACGATGATGACGATGATGACGATGATCAGGAGGAGGACTGCAGAGGATAGAAAGGATGATGGGGAGAAGGAGGAGGGGGAGCCAGGTTTGATGAACGATTTCAGTTATCATCCATGCCATCTTCATTGACTCATTGTTGATGCACTTTTGCCATCGAGGTTCAAAGCGCCCTCTGCCGCGCCGCTGGCGCCAGGCAGCCATGGGTAACCCTATCAAGGGCGCGCCCGAGCACGATCGCAAGCTCGCGGCCAATGACAAATACAAGCGACACATGGAAACGCGAAAGGCGAAGGAAGCCAAACGTCGTGCGAAGACTAAGTTTGACAAGGCCGCGGACAAGGCCGTCGCCGAGGCTTTGCGGCAGAGGCTGCTCGGCCGCGCTGTCCCTCAACAGCAGCTGCTGCTGCGCCCTGCCGCTGCTCTGCCGCTGCCCTGCTGCTGCCCTGCTGCTGCCTTGCTGACGGATCCAACTGGCGGAGCAAGCTGGGCGTCATGGTCACGCGGGTGCTCGGGCATGACCACGGCAAGATCGCGGAGGGGCAGAGGGAGTCCGAGCGCACTCCCCACCATACCGTCGAGCGCTGGCTTGACGACTTTCAGCGGGCCGCCTGCAAGCATATCGACGACAACCCCGCGACCTTCGAGACGAAGGGCCGCGGGCGGGCCGCGGCCGCGAAG